AAGCCTCTCCCTTGGGGATTTTCCATGCCATTTACACAGGTCTAAAAGCTTCATGTCTTTTTTGTTACTGCTATAGATAACATTGATCAATGATACTGGTATTAAAACCTTGGACCTTTTAATCTGTGGCCTTTTGTGTCTTTTTTATCCTTGCTTTTGCAGGCCAGTTTGATCCAATCTGCCAATTAACTGTTTTTGATCCTTGTATCCATTTAATTAAAAAAAAATTATATTTTTGCTAGCTGCACTGAGGATTGTGTGTGCTTACTCTGTTCTGGGTAACAAGATTGGCTGGGAGCGTGCTGGGTGCAAACTAAATATCCTGTTTCCCCAAAAATAGGACCTATCCAGAAAATAGTTTTTTGTTTGCGCCTAATATAAGCCCTACCCTCCAAAATAAGACCTACTTAAGAGCCTATGCAGCCGGCCATCCATCCATTCTGTCTGGTTACTTGTTCTGTGGTCATGAGGCGAGGTGGGGGGGCTGATGGAGTTGCCCTGCGCACCCCACACTGGCTTATCTCAGGGCAACCAGGCCATCCATGCCCAACACCTGCCTCGCAGCAGCAGCTTCGGCAGCCATGTGAAGTAGGACCCCCCATAGCCGATGGCCCACTTCTTTTGCTTGCTCATGGCCGCAATGTAGCAGGAGGCCGAGTGGTGCACTAGTGCCACGGATGCGAAGTGAGGCAGATGTTGGAGCATGGATGGACTGTCTGCAGTGGCTCTGAAGTAAACCGGTGCAAGGCGTGTGGGGAAGCTCCACCGCCGCCTCACCTCATGGCCGTAGCACCAGTGCGTTGGTCAGCCTCCTGCTCCATTGTGGCCACAAGGAAGTAGAAGTGGGCCAGCGGCCACGCAGGGTTCTGCTGGACATGGCTGCTGGAGCCGTCGCTGCGAGGCAAGGCACATGTCACGGCTGGGTGGCTCACTGTGAGCAAGCAGAAGAAATGGGCCTCCCATGTACTCATAAAGTACGTGGAGAAAAATAAGACATCCCCCCATTTTGGGGCCCCAAAAGAAAATAATGCTTATTTTTGGGGAAACGGGTAGGAAATTTCCCATAGGAATTTTCCAACAGATGGTAGTGCAAATCAACTTTCTGAAGAAACATAATTGCAGCTGAGTCATTTCCATGGAGGTAAAATGGTTTCGCAAACTTCCTCTACCTTTGGCATATATTCTGATGATTTCTTGGTGTCAAACAAAAAATTGGTACCAAGAACATGTTGTCACTATTTGAATGTTACTGCTGGAAGTGGCTTTGGGAGTGCAGCAATTAATTTGTATAGGAGTATTTGTCTGTGCTATTCCCATTTTTAATCCTGATTGCATTACTTTTGGATGTTTAATGATTGAAAGTCACACCAGGTGGAATTTTATTTAGCTAATTAAATATATTTAGTTTTTTTCTATTAGGTAAAACCTTTTTGTTTTACTCAATGTTAACCACTTAAGTCCGACTAGCAAATTGGGTGACCATATAAAGCTAAAGCTAAATGAATTAAGAAATGAATCTCTATGTCTGTGATATATTTAGATGTAATTTTATACTGATTTATTTTGTAGTTGTTTTATCCCTTAACATGTGTACTTGATCAAAAGGAAATGAAATGCATTGTTCAATAATAAATCCAATCTCAAAACAGGAACAGAATGACTGGTTTGTACAATTTGCATCTCAGCTCCAGGCAAATGTAGGAGGGAACTCAAAACGTTTTACATATACAAATTGATAATGGCCTTTCCTGTTGTTGGTAACATTCATATTTCACCCAGATGAAGCCTCCAATCACTGCCTCCAAACTGCCTGCAAAGTACAGCTATACAAAGAACAGTATAGCACCATCCAATCCTACTGTGTGATAGAGGGTAGGCTGGAGGGACAACAGATTTAGGATGACAGAAGTTTTCCCTGGCTTCAGGACAGGAGGAAATTGGGCATGGTTAAAGCAACGGAATCCTTTACAATTGAATTCTTATCATTCTATTCCAGGCAGTTTCCAAATCCTCTTTATTTACATCCATTTTCCATTTATTCTTGATTGGGTGCCTAATCTGTCCTCTAATACATTCTCACAGAGGGTTTATATTTTCACTTCCTAAAGACAATGCTCTTTTAATCTAGTTTCTCTCACTTTCTTTAATGCCCATTTTCGGCTAAGATTTATCCTGACCCTACCATATATAGGTAGTTCTCAATTACGACTGCAATTGAGCATGGCAATTACAGTCATAGGTCATGATGTTTATAAAGCGGGTCACCATGTGACCAGGCCCCCTTTTTTGTGGTAGGACATTAAGCAAATGCAGTGGTTGTAAAGTGAGCACTGCTATCATTAAGCAAACCCATTATTCGCTATGGACCCTTTTTTGCGGGAAACTGGAAGTAAATGCCATTGGCTCAATTATTTGTCCTATATGTTCTCATTCTCACATGCATTTCTGTTGCTTTACAGAATAGTTGTCCTCTATGGATTTTATTAATTCAGAAAGTTGTACTTCTTCACAAAACTCCTACCGATATCTGAATAATTTTATACTCCACCAGATTAAACCACCTTCACTCATAATTATTACTTCATTTCCCTTTTCCAAAGACACCATGTATTAATCTCTCAAATTTATTCCTCTGAAATTTCAAGTTATAACCTCCCATATGCCATGATTATTGCCAGATAGGCCTTAATCCTGTGGTAGTGAACCTATGGCATGTGTGCCAGAGGTGGCACGCAGAGGCCTCTCTGTGGGCATGTGCACCCTCGCCCCAGCCCAGCTCCATCACGTTTCTCCATCGCATTTCTCACCATCATTTGCAGGGAAACAGGTTTGTGGGACTAAAAAAAAATTAACTCAATCAATTCCAACTTCTCATGAAAGAAAAAGATCCCGCAAAGTTGGAATTGATTGAGTAAACTTTTTCACTCACACACTTCCAGTGGGGGAGATGGGGTCACCTCCTCCTGAAGCCCATTATGACGTGGAGCCACAATGCGACCCTGCATCATCTCGGCTCATTTTGGTCTCCCGGATGTCAGTTGCTTTTCCTGCAGAGCTGCCTGTGTTGGGATGCCCCGCTTCCCCACCAGCCAGCTGAGCTTCGGGGTGCTGCTTCTGGGCTCATCGGCCTATGGACGTCAGATTCCCACCACCCAGCACCAGTTCAGGAGTTCCTCCCCGCCGGGGACAGGGAAAGAGAGAGAGGGGGGAGGGAAAGAGAGAGAGAAAGAGAGGGAGGGAAGGAGAGAGAAAATCAGAGGGAGGCACAGAGAGGGGGAAGAGAGAGAAGGAGGGAAAGGGAGGGAGGGAGAGAGAAGGGGAAGAGAGGGGGAGGGAAAGAGAGAGAGAAACATGGAGGGAAAAAGGGAGAGAAAGAGGGGAGAAAGAGAGAGAGGGGGAAGAGAGAGAGACAGAGAAAGAGGGAGGGAGGAAAAGAGGGAGAGAGAGAGAGATGGGGAAAGAGGGGAGGGAAAGAGAGAGAGAGAAAGAGTGGGAGAAGAGAGACAGAGAAAGAGAGAAGGAGGGAGGGAAAGAGAGAGGGAGGGAAAGAGAGAGAAAAAGAGAGTGGGGAGGAAAGAGAGAGAGGGAGGGAAAGAGAAATGATATTACAAAAGTTTTTTTTTATTGTTGCTAAATGTAATATTTCAAAAGGAGAAAAAAATGAAGGGGCGTAAAAGTGCATTTATCACATTTTTCTTAGAACAATTAGCTGAACAATTATTTTAGGTAGTAAAACATCAGTATTCAGGTTAAATTGCTGTGTTGGCACTTTGTGATAAGTGGATTTTGGGTTGCAGTTTGGGCACTCAGTCTCTAAAAGTTTGCCATCACTGCCTTAATCAGTTGAGGTTTTCATATAATGTTTTTGTAGAAAGGTACCAAAGAAAGTATAGAAGGTATGTCAGCTTACCAGCCTTAGTTACATTGATATCACAACATATGCAGCATTCCTGATTCCTATTCAGTAAGGAAGTACTGATTCCACATACTGTTGTTTGTGCTCTGTTGACAAAGTATACTGATACACTGAAAATGGTTACCACTTGACTGGCTAAATGTTGAAATTGTTACTGTCTTTACTGCAGAAATATATTGGGAGTCTTGGAAGCCTTAGTCCCACGAACACAGCCTTAAGACAAATTAATTTAAAACAGAACATATTACAGGACGGTTTGGTACCTGGACAAAATCCTTGCTTAGAGCAGACCGATCCTTTCGATCCTTTGCTAAAATCACAAGATGCCTTATAAAGCTTGCACCGCATTGAAGACCCTGTAAGCAGAGGAAACAAGTCACCTGCTTTGCACCAAAGCCAATAGTTTGTTTTGTGGTATTTATTAACTCCATCAAAATAGACAATCCATTATAAGCAAAGGTTGAAAAATAACAAAGGAATAATTTTAAAACAACGCTTCCCATCGCAAATCCTTAAATGCTTGGGAGACAAAGTGCTTTCAGCAGTCTGAAGTGTTGGGATTGAACTTTGCATGCACCGGCTCTCTGCATCTGTAAACTTGCTGATCACAAGGGGCGTTGGCTGCAGAAGTGACTAGCAATGCACTTTTATTTCTTTTCTTTGTCTAACAGACTGTCTTTGTATCTCTCTATGTAAGTCGGTGACGTGGTTAGAATGGCTTTCACCATTCTTTCTCACTTCTGTCTTCTTTCTTCTGTTTCTGATCTGTGTAGATCAAGTACTTTCCTGGTTTGCTTGCTCTCCATGAGAGAACTCAAGCTCTTCGCTGTAAGCAGACCTGAGTAATCCAGGTTTTCCAATCACCATGGTACAGTATTTACTAAATAAATGTGGGTTTTTTTACACACACACACACATGTATGTATGTATGTATGTATGTATGTATGTATGTATGTATGTAATATCTTTATATTTGGACAGCAGAGACATTACAGCAAAAGGAATGCATGGAAATAAAAGGTTAAAAGTATAAAAGTATAACTATACTTTTAACCTTTTATTTTCATGCATTCCTTTTGCTGTAATGTCTCTGCTGTCCAAATATAAAGATACACACATTGTCTTCTGTTTGAGGCAATGTTATAAAATTCCATTTTGGCACATAAAAGGCAAATTTGTTTACTTGTTTAATTAATCATCTGATCTGTTCACTAATGAATTGTGTTTCTTTCTCCAGTTTGCAATAAAATTAGTTCCCAAAGAATCTTGCAAACAACTAAAACAAACATTAACATCCGTGAAACAAGGAAAACTTTTAGTCAGAACTAAAGAAGCTGTGCAAGAGACTGCACAGCATTAAAACTAAAACATAAATACAGTAAAGGAAAAGGTAACAAATGAATTACGTTCTTTTCCTAGTGACTACACAAATATTATACTTGGGCACCATGCAATTTCCTTAAGCAATAATAAAAAAATGTTTGTCACTTGCCTTCCAGGATGCCATTACAGGTAGACCTCGACTTATGACCACAACTGAGCCCAAAATTTATGTTGTTAAGTGATACATTTAAGTGTGTTTTTCCACATTTTACAACTTTTCTTGCCACAGTTGTTAAGTGAATCACCACAGTTGGTAAGTCCGTAACACGGTTGTTAAGTGAATCTGGCTTCTTGTCAAAAGGAGGCAAAGGTGATCACATAACGTTGGGATACGGTCATAAGTATGAGTCAGTCGCCAAGCATTTGAATTTTGATCACATGATAATAGGGATGCTACAAAGGTTGTATGAAAAACTGTCGTAAGTCATTTTTTCAGTGTCGTTGTAACTTTGAATGGTCACTAAATGAACTGTTGTAAGTCAAGGACTACCTGCATTTTTTTTTATTTCAATTATCCAATTTAGTCTATAGGACTGATATTTCATGGTTGTCTCCAATCCAAGAACTAACCCGGAGCAGTGATGCTTAGCTTTTTCATTTTTATCAAGATTAACAAGGCACTGCCAGCAGTTGTAAATATTCTGACCAAGACTCCCAGGCTGTCATCAGGAGTTGAGACTTACTCGGAGGCAGGCAAAAATGGTCTACAGCAGAAATAATTTTAGGCTTTTATTATGGTTGCAATCTAAAGTATATAAACCACTCTTTAATAAAACTTACGTAAGACAAATTATCTAAAGGAAGATCTTTAAAACCAAATGGCAAAATTAAAAAGAATAAATGAAAGAAAACATTTCCTTCTGTGCTGCTTTCTTTTCTTTACTCACAACCACAATATTTTCTCAGCCTTTGGTAAATGAATTTTGAAAAACAAGTAAACTATATTTACTACCAAAGCCAACCAACCAATAAATAAAAAAGACTTTTTTAATGAGGAAGTATTTACTTATGCAATCTTATTCATGTGCAATTTTATTTTCCATTGAGATGGAAAGTTGAAACTTTGACTTTGGGTTTTGCTAATAGATTTATTGTTATAGAAATGACTAGTATATATTACTGTGTAAATGTAAAAATTGAGGCTGTAATGCTATTATCTCCTACTGCGCTCATTAAGGTTCTTAGATTGCCCTTATGTGCACAACACAATGATTATTTTAATCATAGTTATGGAATAAATCAGGGGCAGGTTTCAAAACCCGTCACTACCGGTTTGCTTGCATGCGCGACGCTTCTGGGTGGGTGGGCAGAACCTCCAGCCACCGCTGCTACCGGTTCGCCTGATCCGGGGAGAACCAGTAGCAACCCACCACTGGAATAAATTACAGTTGGCTAGATTTACATAGTATGCTAATTCATAAACCATAGTTTGCTAGGGCTCAATAGTTAAGAAGTTGCAACCTTGTTGACAGATGTTTCAGAAACCAATTTTAAAATGGAAATACTTGAGAGCAATTTCTGCATTTCAATATCTAGTGCAAATTTTTAACTTTTATGTGTATTAAAAATATTCAATGAATTTACTGGAAGCTTCCTAGACAGTCAGTAATGAGAATGTATTCCGCTTCTGTCCTCTGAACCAAGGCCATCACTTCACGTAATTGCCACTGAATATGCTAAAGCTTAATTTTATTTAATTAATCTAAGAGATGACTTTAAGTTTGATTGTCATAGAGCAAATGCTCCTCTTTCCCTAAAAATCAGGTTGGTCCTTAGAAAATCATTCTTCATCAGAACATACTGCGTTCAACTAGCAGTGTCTGAAGCAAACTAAGATTTCATCAAAATGAGTTAAGATGCATTGTGTTAGAATGCAAACTCTGCATTATACACAGTTCACATATTTCACATACTTACATACTTCACATACATATTGTGATGCACATTTAAAAGGTCAGATTTTACCTTGCAACATCAGGAGGCACTTTTTAGCATTCCTCACATGGATGCTCATGTCTTCAACAAAACTTTTCAATCAGATCAGTTTTTTTTAAAAAAAATGAATGAAATATTTGCCATAGTTCCATTTCCCTTGTATCTCCATTTTCCATTATTTATCTCCATAGCCACACATCCATAACATTCTTTTGATGACTGGAATCGATACATTTCTCCTTTAAAAAAAGAACTCATGCTCATCCCAGAACATAATTATAGCTTTTTTGTGGTAGAAACATATGATCACAAAAGGCAAAGCAGTAAAGCAAAGTCACTAATACTACTCTGATGTCCTTTCTTAAACAAGTCCACTCTGGGTCTGTTATAATAGGCTTTATTTATAAATCAATTACTCCAATCATCTACTCTATCAAGGTGTGCAGATCACAGAGAAAAGAATTGGTAATTCTCACAAACCACTTTCAACCAAGCATTGAGGCAATCAGTGTTATTGGAATACACAAAGACCTTCTGAATTTAAAGCTATAGCAAAGCTGTTGATTTAAAATAATTTATACAATCATTGCCACATTCACTTTTTCTTGTTCACACCCCATTTACCTAAATGCCATCCAACTAGGCTGGCCAGGCATTAACCAGAGGAATAGGAGCCACCAAATATATATTTAGAACTACTCAAAGAACTGGGGTGCCCCTTTTTATCCCTACATCCTTGTTTTAGGAATTTATAAATTTGGCAACTGTCAGTGGTATTAAGGTTTCCTTAGACTTTGTACCCAGCTTCCCTTTGTTGTCTTTTGATGGAATTTTTTTCCATGTCTTTTGGCTCTTAACAACTTATCTTCCTATTATCTATTTCTGAAGGCATCTTTTGACATTTAATTGTTTGTCCTGTGTCCAGTTAATTTTTAACTTATAGCAGCAATTGTCAATGTCGGCCTGGTTTACATATTTGAAACTCACTCCTCCATGGAGTTTAAAGATCATTTTATTTCACAGGGTCTTCAATTCTAGATAGGTTTATTGGCACCCCTTTTGAGGGAAAGCTGATTGGAATAACTAATTTAATACTACTGGTACCCGGATTATGTTATAATTTGTTGCTATTGTTGTTTTTGCAGTTTAACATATTGTAACCCCACCCACTTTTTGATTGAGTGGATTGTAAGAACTGTAAACTAAATAAATAACTTACACCATGCATGTGTGAGACAGATTGTCTTTGTTTTCTCCAAGCTATAAGCATAGATTGGGAAGTAAACAAAAAGTATCTTCTGGAAGACAACAGCAAATCATTTCTGTCCTTTGACAAGAAAACATGGATTTGTGCATATAATCAACAGGAATCAAATTGGACTCAACACATACAACAAAAACAATGCAAAATATTTATGAAAAAATAAAATATTTTTATACGTTAAAATATATCTATTATCTACATGCTATTAAACCTCTCATGTCTTAACCTTAACCTGGGCGAAATGGTGCATTATAGGGCAGAATTTTTTTTCAACTGAAGTACGTCAAATGGGTTAACACATAGAATATATCTGGAACCCATGACTCCTGTGGAATTGAAATTTGGCAAATTTTATAAAACACTTAATTGCATAAAAATTATTATTCTAAAAAATTTAGAATTTTTTCAGGTACATTAGAAGCTCTGCCATTGTTGAAAGCACTGAGGAATTTGGTAAAGAAATATCTCTGAAATGATGACCCAAAAGGTAACAGTTGTCTAGTTTTAAAATTAAATTGTCTAAAATACCATAACACAATCTGACAAGCTAAATTCATGACACCTTTGTAAATTAAAAAAAATGCAAAACCAGCATATGCACACCTTATGTATTAAACCTCTGGGAAACTTAACACACCTTTTTTATGTAAACACCACAGATCTTAGAGGAAAATATTGGCTCTGTCAATTATGTTGACATTACTGTGCCATTCCAATACCTGCTATGTTTCTTGGAAGCAGGAAACAAAAAATAAACCAAAAAGGTAATCCTTGAGAGGATGGCCAGGTACCCTATTTATTCTTGCCCAGAACATCATTACAATGGATTGTTACAAAAATTGAGCAACAAGATTATTTTACATAACATTCGTGTAAATAAGGAGCACACATGCCTTGTACATTTCTGAGACATAAAACACCCATTTTCCAAGGGTGAAATCCAGCAGGTTCTGACAGGTTCTGGAGAACCGGTAGCAGAAATTTTGAGCAGTTCGGAGAACCAGAGTGGGGTGGGAATGGAGATTTTTCAGTATCCTTACCCTGGAGTGGGATGGGAATGGACAATGGAGATTTTGCAGTATCCTTCCTCTGCCATGCCCACCAAGCCACACCACGCCCACAGAACCGGTAGTAAAAAAATTTGGATTTCACCACTGCCATTTTCCCATTAATTCTATCCCCATGGCAAAACATGGAATGAAAAATTACCCTTTTGCACCAATAATATGCCATCAGTCACAACCTCTCCATCTCAAATATTACTTAGCCACAAGAAAGTAGCTTAGCTGCTTCTTCATATGAACAGAGTGGCAGTTTAGACAGGGTTCAGCATTCACAGCCAGATCTTTGCTGCTAATCAAAGAATCAGATCTTGTTTAACTCTCAGGAGCAGATTTGCCTCCACTGCATTCATATCTAGTCCAAGTAGTACTGAGAAGTGTGGTTGATTCTAATCTGCCAAAAGAGAAAATAATTGGATTTATAGATCATAATAAACTGTAAGTGCTCTGCTTGGTTTCAGCTAAGCATGAATTGTGAACATCAGTTTATAACTTGTTCAGCTAACCAAGGTGAAAACAAATAATGGCTTCAGAAAAAGTTTGAGCCCTGCCTTTCCTTATTTTATAGGATGGGTAAAAAGAGACCAAATATTACAACTGTCAGTCTTGTCTTATTTTCCTCTCAGTACAGGCTTATAGAAATCAAGGTAAAGGTTCCCCTTGCACATATGTGCTAGTCGTTCCCAACTCTAGGGGCCAGTGCTCATCTCCGTTTCAAAGCTGAAGAGCCAGCGCTATCCGAAGACGTCTCCGTGGTCATGTGGCCGGCATGACTAAACGCCAAAGGTGCACGGAACGCTGTTACCTTCCCACCAAAGGTGGTTACTATTTTTTCTACTTGCATTTTTTACATGCTTTCGAACTGCTAGATTGGCGGAAGCTGGGAGAAGTAAGGGGAGCTCACCTCGTTACGCGGCACTAGGGATTCGAACCGCTGAACTGCTGACCTTTCCATTGACAAGTTCAGGGTCTTAGGCCCTGAGCCACCATGTCCCTATTAACGCGTCCCATTATAGAAATAAGGATACCTTAATATCTCTTTCTCTTGCCTTAGGTCAGGTACAGGTGAACATGTAAGAAAAGGCAGGAACTTCCTCCTCCTTTTCTCAGTCTCTGAATTAGAGATCCACCTAAAACCACAAACAAATCACTGATCACATTTGTGACCATAGATAAAACTGAACATGATTGGGGAGGATACCATTACAATCTGAGGATCAGATCTATGTGGATCCTCATGAATTTACACAGATCCCAATATGAAGTATTAAAAGCATGTTATTTTTGAAGCAAACTGTGGGCATAATAATCTATGCAGGTTCACAGGAAATGCTAAAATCCTGATGGTTTGGATTATTTAGATTAGAATGTAATGTGAATTTATCCAATTGTGGTTTACTCACTACCTAAGCATTAGTCTGTTACTCCTCCCTCACCATGCTCTTTGAGTCTTTGCTAGAGAATCCTAGTGAATCAGGGTCTTGAATCAATGCTATTATGCTGTAGCATTGTATGGAAAACTGATGGCCCTGGTTAAATTCCTAAATTTAATTATAATAGTCGGGATACAGGTATTCCTCGATTTACAACCACAACTGAGGCCAGAATTTCTGTTGCTAAGTGAGACAGTTGTTAAGTGAGTTTTGCCCCATTTTACAACCTTTCTTGCCATTGTTGTCAAGTAAATGGTTGCAGTTGTTAAGTCAGTAACACAGCTGTTCAGTGAATCTGGCTTCCCCATTGACTTTGCTTATCAGAAGGTTGTAAAAAGTGTTCACATCACTCCTGGACACTGCAATGATCATACATAACAAGTCAGTTGCCAATTGGTTGAACTTTGATCATATGACTCTGGGGATACTGCAACAGTTGTAAGCGCGAAATCCCTTTTTTCAGAACCATTGTAACTTCACTTAAACTAATTGTTGTAAATCGAGGACTACCTATCCTACCAAACTACCACTTAAAGTTTCTAATTGTTGTAAACTGAGGATTACCTATCCTATCAAAAAGACCTAGATTTGTGATGTTACTGCTCGTTCATTCTATTTAAAGAAAGAATCATGCAAAAAGTAAGATCATCTTTTTTAAAAAAAAAAAATACCTAGGCATTCCTCCACCTTACCACCCTCCCACCCCAGCTCTTATTTAACGTTGGCCGTTAAATGAGCACAAACCTACATTCTTCATTTAAACCGAGGTTTGTCTTTCTATTTCCTTACTCACCACCCAGCAGTTCCATGTTCATCCAGCTCATTCCCCGGGTACTTTCTTGTGAGTAACACAGAAGTTGCTACACGCTGTCCGGAGTTAAGTTTATTTGCTCTCTCCGCTTCTAACTTTCCCGTCGCCGAGGTGAAGTCCGGGGCTTCCCGTTTTCTACGTCCATCCCGAGTGGCTACCGCTCCGAAACAGGAGCAGAAGCTACGGCGTTTTTTTTGTTGTTGTTTTTTTTTTACAGCGGCACAACGGGACATGCCTTGATTTCGTCCGAGGAAGGGAAGGGAAGGGAAGGGAAGGGCTGGGTCCTCCGGGTTCAAACTTCAAACAGGTTCCTGCTCCGCTCTTTCGGCGGCAGCCGTCAGGGCAGGGTTTGATGTGTAACCCTTTTTCCCAACGTGCTGGAACTCGTTTCCACGCCCGTCCCAGCCCACAATCGCTCCTGAGAGAGGGAAGGGCGGGAAATACCTGGGAGGAAGACGGAACAGCGTCCCGACTTGAAGCTCTCAGCACTTTTTCCCAACAGACCCGGGCGGTTTAATAGCAGTCGAGCGGCGGGAAAAGCTCGGGGGATCCTCGCTCGCCGGGACTCAGCGAAGTAAGCTTGGGGTGGGTAGCAGTAGTGGCGGCGGCGTCCCGTCTGCTTTCCCTCGCGTCCAGACGGGGTGGGGTGTTGGGGGGGGGAGGCTTTTGGTCGGCCGGTCGTGGGACTTCCCGCCTTGCACGATCCCCAGTTGTGATGTTGTTGTTGTTGCGGGTGGCTTCGTTTCTACGCTCTGCGTCGCGGAGAAGGGCTGGAGGGAGGCTTCTTCCCCCGCACGCCCTCTTTTCTAAGGACGGAAAGGTGGACGGCTCCGATTGCCAGGCTTGGGTTGCCGAGCCAGAGTTGAGGAAAAAAGAAAGAAAAATACATGTCGTATTTGGAGTTTGGGGTTAAAAAGTGTGTGTGTGGGGGGGAAAATAAGGGATCAGGGGGAGGGGGGGTCTCTGTCTTAGCTTGGAATGAAGAAGAGGCAAGGAATGGGTAATATGGGGGTTATCTGAGGCTGTCCCGAGAGGGGGAGCTTTGCTGGCGTGAAAGGAGAGGGACGGTGTTCTTCAAAGTCACCTCATAACGTGGTAAACTTTAGGTGAGGGAGAAGGAAAATGGTTCCGCTGTTTAGAGTTTAAGCGAGCTAAAGGAAAGAAGGAAGGAAGGAAGGCGAGGCGGGGCTCTTAAGAGGCCAAATAAACGGGTCAAAACTTTTGTGTGACTGGAAGGCTCCCTCAGAGAAGGCAACCGCGAGTGTTAACTTTAGGCCGAATCTGGCCATCTCTTTCTTCGCCTCCCACGGACGGTTGAGGGGGGGGGGAAAGAAGCAGATAAAAAGGGATGAGTCTGTGGATTGATGTTTCCACAGACTTCTGTTACTCTTCCTGAGGAGATTTTCGGGCCGCTTTGTAATGTTTGAATTGCTTTTTATTTCAAAACAAAACAAAAACTTGACTGTGTTTCGAATGCGAAGATGAAACTTTGAAGGAATGAAGGCCGGTTCTGTGCAGGTTTATCTTCGACGACAGCGAGGCGTTAAGGTTTTGTTTCCAGTTTCATATTGGGAAGGGAGAGTTTTTAAAGCTCTTTTTCTCTTCTTGCGGCCTTTTTCTCCCTCTCCCCCCACCCCAATCCAAGTCTGAGGAAAATTCATACCATCTAAAGAGAAGATAAGGGAGATACCTAAATGGGACGATATAGCGCTTTTCAACTCTGCTTCCTTTGCTTTCAAAATTAAACTCGTCACGTGATAGCACAGTAAGGTTTGAGTCATGCATCTGCTACTGCACCTCATGTATGAAAGGCGGGATTTTATTTATTTATTAAATGTGTATGCTGCCCATCTCTATCAAGCGACTCTGTGGCTTACAATACCATAAATAACAGAATAAAAACAATTACAGGATCGAAACGTTAAAACATCAGACATTAAAGTTAAAACATGAAAATATTAAAGTGGATAGAAATCTAGGCAATGACTATGCTCCCAATACTGCATTATTTCAAAAACACAACATTTAAAAACCATTATTTTAAAATCATTTCATGATAGAATGAGGAATTTCAATTTATGATCAATATTACTTTACTTTTGGGGTGTGCTAGAAAGGATTGCAAGTTAAATTGATGAGTTCAGGTGGTGAGTGTAGATCCTTGACAAGTTGGGCTGTACAAGATGATAATTATATTTTTATTCTACCTTTTATACATTTTGGCCAATTTGCATTAGCATTTTTACAAATTGCTCCATTTTATTCTTGTGTCCTATCTAGCTATTTTATTTACATATCTTTAAATGACATAACCTAGTCCTAGAAAGTTAAACTGTGAGAAGCTGAACCATCCCTTAAAGATTATGAAGGGAATAAACGGATCAAAGTACTTTTTTCTCTCAAGCAGCATATTCACTACTTTAGGGAAGAAAACTCAGGATAAAAAAAAATGTTTTCCCCCATTGAGGCTTTCATAATTTAGAATATTGTATACCAATGAGGAAACTAGACAAGATTTGTTTTTACTGTATTTCAGATATCCTCTACACGATAATGTAATCTTCTGCTCCCTTGGAGCCAAGTTAATAATATAATTCATTAAAATTCTATTTTATTCATCTGTAAGAGTTGTATGTGGCAGTAATCATCTATTCTAAAGGTATATGTGTGCATAAAGCACAACAATTACAGGAAACTAGAAGAGATCTGTTATTGGACTGCAGTACAGTAAAGCTTCAGTAGAAACAAGTGTACTCAACAAAAACCTTAATATCTCAAACATGGATAGTGTCAGACCAGGTCAGACACTACAAGAAATACTAGAACTCTATTGATATAGACTATACTGTAATAACAGAATCCTGAACACCTGATAGATTTTGTCTTTCCTTCCCCCTTATACTCAAGAGATCTATCTCATAAATCTCTACAGGAAGTCTTCTGCTAAGTACCCTTGGAACATGGTACTTAATGTCATGATCTACAATAAAATACTCTGTTTTATTCATGTGTAAGGATTTTATATTGCACTAATCATCAAAAGGGGTTTACATAGCACAAAGCAGCTAAAAGCTGCAATCCTGTAATCCTCAGAAAAATCTCCCAGAATTCATGAGATGTAGCATTTATTTAACCAATGGAGACCTTCTTGCAAAGATACAAGATGCACCACAGCTAGTGCTGTTCCACTGATATACTAAAATGGGATTGGAAGTAGATACCCAAACTCCATTTTCTTACAGTTCTTCTGGTATGGGGGTGAAGAGAAATATACCAGCCCTGAAGTTGGCATATTTTTTCCCCCCATGGCAAAAATGTTTTGGAAAAAGGATGAAAAAATAGAACAAATTCTACCACAATGGATATCAGGCTTTTAACAACTTGCTTGTTTTAGCAAAAGTTATTAATCTGTTTTGACAGAAATGTTAATACGTTGTATTGAAAGCAGTGCTTTTATTGGGGTTCATTGGAAAAATATCATAAAGATTAAACTACACCCTAGCAAAAGATTAATGTATTTGTATTCCATAGCCAAAATTACAAGAAATTAGAGGATTTTTCTTTATTCTGTTGTAACTATTTTGATGTAACGGATACAAGGGCCTAAAATAGTTACAACTGTAAGTAAAAGGATATGCGTTTGTGTATCTATGTGTATGTGAAACTGCTTTGCCAAACTCCCAGCTTCACACCCAATGATTGAAGTAGTCTATTCATGAAGGGTGGAGGTGATGAAGATAAATGACAGGATTAATTATTGCACATTGCAAAGCAAGATACAGTAATCACCACCATGCACAGTAGATCTTTATAGAACAGAACAGAAATCTTTAATTGTAATGAATCATGAAAGGGAAAGGGTTTTCTGGGAACGCAGTGTTTCAACAGGCTATTTAATATTTGCATTTATTTAAGTATGTCATCCACAAACAGTGATTGTAATATAGGTAACGGTTCAATGTAAAGAACAGCTAAGGATGAGTAATTGTATTATAAATTGCCTAAAAAACTGCCAAAAATGTTTTTGTCACAGGTGGGATATAAAGTTTTTTCATTAGCCAGTATATCTTTGTAATTATGTTACAAATATTTTTCAGCTGCCAGGTTTTGGTCATTTACATTGTAGTCTTACAGATTTTGTCTCAAAAGCTATGAGGATCAATTTAAAATCATGTCTAGCAGCTGTTGTTTGAAGATCAAACCAAATACTTTGTGCATTTTATTTATTTATTAAATTTGTATGCTGCCCATCTCATTATCAAGTGATTTTATGTCCTTGGTGAACTAGTACTATATTATATAAAGTTATGGAGAAATTATGGTATTTCTTACTGTAAATTAGTGATTGCTATCACTGATAAATATTATTGCTGACTTCACACATAATTCTAAAATAGCTTATTTTTAAAACACAATTAGTTTAACAAACCATAATAGTTTGATTACCCTATGTCTGTGATGGCAAACCTATGGCACACGTCCCCAAAGTGGCCATGTCGCCTGGCATGTGCACCGTTGCCCATTTCTCTTCTGGGTTTCTGGCGTGCATGACCACGCGATGATCAGCTGGCCTTTTTGCATGCAGCAGTGACAGAAACTGGAAGAGCTGGTCTTCCATTTTCCTGCATGAGCATGTGCACCAGCCAGCTGATTGTCATGTGTTCATGTGCGCCAGAAATCCGGAAGAGTAACTGGCTGAAACTGGAAGTTCAGTAGCTGAAACTGGAAGTTCATTTTTGGGTGCGTGCATGCGCCCTGGGCCGCTCCACTTCCTGGTTGCGGCCCAGACGTGCGTGCACATGCTCCCTTTACAGCACTTGGTGCTGAAAGCACTTCACCATCACTGTCCTATGTTAAGACAGAGCAGATTGGTTCAAAATTGAGGCTAAACCAAACTAATTTATATAGTGCCTTAGTATTGTAAGAGAAAAAGACCCTTGATTGGATTCAATACCAGCTGAAGTTCTTAATGATCTTCATGGAGAGTCCAATATACAACAAGTTACACTAATAAGATACTGATATTCTGAGATATAAAAGTATAGAGATTTTCTTTTCAAGATATTCACAAAAACTACACTCCTAATTATTGTTATATTAAAGCAATGTGATGTGCACCATCACACACTTTTTAAATTTCAGTTTCAACTAATTCACTTGTATTCATATTTGAAGGATAAGCAGAAAATCTTGAAATCATAATATGAGAGCCAGATTAAGAGATGGAGTTGCATTTATCATGACATCTTTACAGATTATCTTCAGGTAATTTTTCTATATGTGAGTTAAGGTTTAGGTTAAAGGAATTCTGAAAAGCCCTTGTTGAGGTTCATTAGACTCTCTTTTACCAAAACTGTAACTTACCTGTTTATGCAAACAGGTAGTCCTTGCTTAATGACCAGTTGCTTAACGACTGTTCAAAATTACAATGGACACCCCCAAAAGGCACTTGCAACCTGGTTCCAGAATTCTGATGGCGGTATACACACCCTTATGGTTATATCACTACATTTCTACAGCCATTTGCAGTATTCTGTATATGATGTGATTTACAACTTTTTTTTGCCAGAAACA